AGTAGGAGATGTAAGGAAACAACTCCGCCCTCTTCTTAGATAAATCTGTCATGGCTGAATATACTTGGAGAAATTGGAGAAACCTTTATTGAAAACCGTTATGTAACAGCAGGGGGCGCTCAAACATTAAAAAAAGGAGAATCTTTCCAGGACAGGGTGCAGTTGAGGGCTGGTGCCAGAAGAGGGCAGTAAGACATTAAGTTTTTCTGCGTAATCCTGACCTGAAAGGATTTTTGGAGAATAAAAGCAAAATTATGAAACATCTACAAAAAAATATCAAGAATTAATGGATTACTTTATTTTCAGCAACAATAAGAGGATTTTGGTCATTCTTATTTTAAATAAACAAATATGTGAATAAATCTGATGATAGTATGAGTTAAAAGTCTGTGATCTTGAAATCCATGAATAGATATGATCATAAATAAAATTAAATAAAAATAATAAAAAACTGACAAAGCAAAACATTCATGATGTGATATTGTTTTGTTTTTTGTTTTGTTTTTTTAAATAGGCTCAAAGCATTTTGTAAACTTGGGCTTTATGTTAAAAAATGAGACATGAAAAAAAAAACCTTCAAGGTTTCGGATCTGAATTTATTCATAAAAAAGTCTAACAAATTTATTAAATATCAAATACTTAGTTCATATATTTATTTTTAACAAGTTGAAAAACATACACATTAAACTTTAATGAATTTTAATTATTATTAGTAGTATTGTTTAGTTTTTTTATTTCTATTTTTCGGACGGGGTGTTGACTTTTTTGCTTAAGTTGTAAATGGAAGTTCTAAAGTGGCTTTGTTTATGTAAAGTTTATGTAAAGGTAAAGTTTATTTAAATGTAAACGTAAAGTTTATGTAAATGTTGGTGGTACTAAGAGGCTCCTGAGTTCGTCTTGGAACAGAATTAGAGATCATGAGAGTTATTACCTGCAGAAACTCATTTTAACTTTAGCAGAAGGAGCCGCTTGTTGTCATAAATGATTTTTCTTATAAATTTGCAGTTTCTTGTTTTGTTGGGTTTTAAGTTTGTTTTCACTTTGATTTGCAGTTTCAGTTTAAATCAGGAATAAAATCTTTGGTGTTATGGGATGTTAAATTCTACAGTGTTTGTAACAGTTTTTCCTGTGCAGCAGGTCAGCAGCATCTAACAGTGTTTGTTACATACAATCTGTTCATGAGCAGATAATCTGAATAGCTTTTTGAAAAAAGGACCTAGTTGTTTACTTTTTCATTTATTTTGAGGCTTAATTTAAAAAATGCAAAAAGTGAGAATAGATTAATCTTTCTGCATTTGGAACAGATTCTGCTGTCAAAAAAAAATAGACATTCATGTATTTTAAAGTGTTTCTTTTTACGGAGGAAAAGTACAGAATTTCTGGGGTAGTAAAAAAAAAAACTTTTTACCATTAGTCTCATTTTTTTGACTCAGTGGCAGCATTGAATAGAAAAGCTTTAAAAAATTTGTTTTTGCATATAAATATGTTATTGTTGCCTTAATTAACATAACTGCCGCTCAGTTTGCTGGCATTTCTGTGAAGAAACTGAAATGCAGTTAAATTCAGTTTATTTCTATTGCATCAATTAAAAACACAAGCAGGGAAAATTCTATCAGATTATAGAGTCACTGACCTGCAGGAGATGCTCCTCCTGGATAAGCTAACGGCAATGATTTATGCTTGTATTGTTTCATTGACTGCTCAGCAATCCCTCACAACGAGCATGCATGTAGCGACAGCGGAGAGGAAAAACTGGTTTTAACCTCCAGCAGAACCAGGCCCAGTGGGAGCCGTGGGAGCTGACTCCTGCAGAGGCCGACTGAGGTTCACGGAGATAGAAGAAGACATTAAAAAGAAGCAGAGATTCATAAGGAAACTATTAACTCGCTTCACTGGTGGCCCTGAACAGGAAAGAGACAGGTAAACAAATGAAAGGGAGCACAGAAGTGCAGGGGTCCGCATTGCAAACTGTTCAAAGAGCAATATTCGACCAAAAAAAACAAAAAATGTGTCTAGAGCCAGATAAATGTAAAAATCAGACTCTAGGTGTATTATCCCACTATAGGAAAGGACTATGTGGGCTTAAATCTATAACAAGCATTCATGATTAAATGTTTATCCTGGAGCAAATTTCACGTCATGTGACTCTGCTGTATGATTTTCGGTGTTTTAAGTTTAAATTCCATAGAAGCACGAGGAGAGGGAGGAGCATTGAATGCTCTAGAAATGCAATAAAGGAATCTTTCTATGGTGGACGTGTTTCTGTTGGGAGGACTTGATTGAATCATGAGGAACCAAGCAGGAACTGACATCCATCAGAGCAGAGCTCTCTAACCCTGAAAGCGCTCCTGGGTGTTATTTTTATTTTCAGGATTTGGCGGAAAGAAAAATGGAAGAAATTTCTCCTCCCTGCATCAGAGCTCTACCTGTTTGATCTGTGGACGGTTTTCATTGCTTGAAACCAAACTAGCAGCAGCAGTGGTGGAGTTTGTAGATGTAATCCACTTCTTATATCTATCTTTGTTCTCCTCTAATTTATCCAGAAGTTCTGCAATCAAACTGTTTGACTCCCAGCTTTGGTGGCCGGCTGCATATTTAGCCTTCCCTGGAAATGCTTTTCCAAATGACTCCTTTTATTAATTGACAACCCAAAAGCAAACATGTGGGGAAAGTTTGTGCATTGACAATAAAAGCAAATGATTCGCTCCATCCTACTTTGAATCCTCAGCTCTAATCAACTATCTTCCTTTTTTTTCCTCTTTAGGAATCCATGTTCAGAGACAAACCCGCCGCTTTATCTGCATCGGCCTCATGCCCGGCACCGCGCCAAGCTGAACTGTGCGTCACACGCTGTGATATTCAAATATTTACAGCATTGGTAAACATAATGAATGTAGATTCGACCTCCTGCACTCCGTATTAAAACAAACAAAAAAACATCCATCTTTAATCATTTTCATACTTTTTTGAGAAAGCTCCAGGGAGCCACAATGGAGGGCTCTAAAGAGCCGCAGGTTGCCAACCCCTGGCCTATAGCTGGGGAGAGAAACAAGACTAAACACTGGAAAACAAGTCAAACTCCATCACCTATAGCCTAAAGGTGTTGATGGCAGCAGCACAGCTGATATTTCTCTCCAGGATGGAGTCACAGCCAGACAGGAACAGACCAGATGAAGCTACTATGAGGAGAAAAGCAGTGAGAACATAAAGTTAGAGGTTGAACTAATGGATATTGCAGGATTGGAGAATAGAGACAGAATGAAGCAGGATGATGTAAAGTGGTCCCTATAGGTCAGACATCCCAAGTCTCCCAGAAGTTCAGGGAGTCTACCTGATATAGACAGATGTTCACGGATAAATTATCCAGGATTTTAGACTGTGAGGGGGGGTGTTTTGCTTTTAGTTTATTCAGGTTTTGTCATTAACCGAGGACAGATGGACCCAGTATTCAAGGAGAGACAGTCAGTAGGAAAGTTCAAAAAGTTTATTAAATAAAACAAAAACCAAAGTGGAGCTGTGGCCGGCGGACACTGCAGGATGGGGGGCGGGTCACCGCCCAATCTCAGACACTCTGTAGTGGGAGAAACACAGGTAAGTGACAACGATCATCTGACTGAAGATGATTATCTGAGTTGGTCACTTACCTGGTTTAACAGTCCAGTCCGAATGTCCCCAAGTGCTGCAGCCCCAGAGGACATGCTGGAAGCTGATCCTGGTCAGGGATCCAGAACAGACAGGAACAGGATCCAGAACAGACAGGAACAGAACAGGTGGCAGGATCCAGACTTCCAGGCATCCACAGGCTCCCAGGAGGGTTCAGAGTCTGACTGGGACCAGAAGCATGACCAGGTGGTCACGCACAGGAGCAGACAGGATCAGGTGCAGACAGGCAGGCTCAGTGGAAGAGGGTAGCCTAGACAGGACGTGGAACCAGAACTTGATGCAGGACTTTAAACTGGTCTCCTCCCTGGAGCCAGGCTTACTGGATAAAAACTGAACCTCCCCACATAATGAGCCAAAAACCCAGAGGACTCCGCAAGGGAGGAACAGTGGACGATCAGGAGACGAGACAAACACTAAAACCCTCTTTCCACTGGCTGCCAGGATCTAGGACATGAACCAAGGCAAAAACTGAACAAACAGACTCACTGAAAACAAATAATGATCTGGCACTGAACGCTCGGTGAAAGGAATAACTAATTAAGGAGGAGCAAACAGGCCAGATCATGACAGGTTTGGGGAGGAGGTTGCTTGTGAAACCTGTGCGTACCTGTCCAAAGCAATGGTCTGTTCAACAAGTTAGTTTCTGTTTACTCTCTGACCGTCACCTAGTTACCACTTGAAGCTGTTCATCCTGAGAAACGGCAGAGGTTGAATTCTCGAGTAAATCATATAAGAGTCATTTTACAGCAGAATATAATCCTGTAAATCCACCTCTAGTGAAGGTGAAGAATGCTGAAGGGTGTCTGGGCTGGTTATATGGGGGGTTCCATAAGCATCTCCCTGAAATGAGTTTTTGGAACTTTTGTTGCTGTTATGTCCTCCAGCAGACTAAACCTATAGCAGCATAACTATAGAGATAGCTCAGGATAAAGATCGAGCCAAGACGAAACAAATAAAGTTAAAATAAATATGTGGTCAGACTGTTTTTATTGGTGAATTTGCTGATCAAGCCTTTTTTCCTACACACTGCAAAAAATTGAAATATAAGTAAGTATTTTTTTCTTCAAGTACCGTAAGTGCATTTTTTCTCTAATTGAGGTAGACAGTTTACTTTCAAAATAAGTCTTATTTACTCATTTTAAGTTCATATTATCTAATTATCTTATTTTAAGAGTAAGGATACTAATTTCATCGGCAAATAATCGTATTTACCTACTCAAAGTAAGGGTAAATACACTTAATTTAAGACATTTTTACTTATTTCTAGATCTTTTTTCAGTGCAGGTTGTTCAAACAGATTTATGTCTGAGCTTTTATTGTGAAAGTACCACCGGAAGCAGCCGTGATCGGATCCACTGAGTTTCTCGGAGCAAACTTCAGTCAGGAGCGGCTGTTGTTGATGTTTGGATCGGATTTTCGTTTTCCTTTCTCAGCTACTGGGAGTTATCAGCCGCGGAATCACGTGACCCCGTGGGTTGCCCCCCTCCCTCCGTGGACATGTAGTGGATCCTCCTGAACGCGTGGAGCTGTCCGGCTGTCGGACTTTAAACCCGTCCTGTTCCACAGGGCGCGATGGTGGAAGCGGCGCGTGACGCGGGGAGCTTTCTGATCGCGTGTCAGTGCGTGGAGATGTTGATGAACCCACTCATCGTCCTGCTGCTCCTGCTCCCTCCAGGTGAGGAACAACCCTGCGGTTTCTCTCCGGAACCAGAACTTTCTGTGATTTTCCTCTCATTCCCTCCGCAGCCTGCGCGTCTCTTCCTGCTCCAGTCAACCTTCGCATCACTTCCCTGAACTTCCAGTATGATCTCCACTGGGACCCTGGACCGGGCTCCCCCCCAGGGACCGTCTACTGGGTCTCTAAGAAGTAATTATTACCAGCAGCTGATAAATCCTCCTTCATTTCTATTCTTTGTTGCTTTTAAATTGGTCTGAATCAGCAGACCAAGACTGTTTCCTTTACTTTAACTAAAAAACAAAAACAAAAAAACCTTCTAATTCAAAATAATGTTTTCTTAAACAAAGAGGAAATGACAGTTTAGGAGTTCAGTTGGTCTTTCGGGGAATTTTAATAACATTATCATCATCCCGCCTCCATCAGGGTCATATTATGATAATAAACACAGTTTAGATCAAAGAAAACCTTCAGTTTTCTATAAATACAGAAAAAAAACCACATAAATGTCACTGGAATTTAATCAAATCAGTTGGTCGGTTTAAATAATCTGCTGAATGGTGGAAACAGTCTGAGCTGGTTTTGATTCTTCTGTTTTTTTATTGTTTGCTTTAAAACAGGCAAAGTCTGTCCTGCTGGTTTTTCCTGCTTCAGAAAAGCTGATTTTTAATTAAAAGCTGATTAATCAGATTTTTCTTTAATTTATTCATTAATTAATCGATAGGGTCTAAATTCACAGGTTTCCCCTTAAAGCAAACAGGCTCTAAAATATACATACACCTAAACTAGGGCTGCGTGATAAATATATATTTTGTTAATTTAGAGTTTTTTAGTTGTTTTTTTGTTTTGTGGAGAATTAGAATTTTTTTCCACCTTTTCTTTTTTAGGCTTTCATAGCTCAGATAATCACCTGTTGCTTTTATTTATATACCTGATAAAGTAGCTGACTGTGTGAGACCTCTGGCTGCAAACATTTAATTATATTTTCATTTTTTATATTAAAAACATGGAAGAAAAAAAACAGATCTGTTGGCATAGATCAGACTGCTCTATTTATTAGACGTTTGCTGGTTTTCTTTGCAAAAGATCCACTTTAAATCGTCCAGAACCAGAAATAAGCATCAGAAGGTAACCGTCACTTTCAAAATTTAAAGTTTAAAGGTCAGATTTTACTCAACTAGAACAAAACAGGACGTTTCTATCATTGCAGCACAGAGAGAAAAAAAAAATATCAGACAATTATGCAGCAGATGATAGAAAACATTTTTAGTAACATGGAAAATAAAGTAGAAATAGGTTCTAGTTTCTGGTTCTAGTTTCAGGTTCTGATGAATATTTCTGGTTCTGGACGGATTAAAGTGGATCTTTTGCAAAGAAAACCAGAAAACATCAATAAGTTCTGATAATTAGAGCGGTCTTGTTTATAGCAACAGGTAAAAATAAAATCTCTGATTTCTTATCGATTTTTTTTATATATTTGTGTAACAAACAATGAAAATATAATAAAATGTTTGCAGCCAGTGTTCTCACAAAGTGGAGACATCTAAATGTGATCAGCTGAGCTATAAAAGCCTAAAAAAGGTGGAAAAAAAAATCAATAAAAATCTAAATTAACAAAATTTTTATTTTATATATATTTATATTTTAGACCGGTGTGCTTTAGGGGGAAACCTGTGAATTCAGACCAGATGGATTAATTCATGAATTAATCAAGTTTAGGCAGCTGCAGGTTATTTTTTGAAAAAAAAAAAGATGGATGGAAAGCGTCTATAGATTAATGCAAAGTTCTGTCCATCTCTGTGGATTTCTGTGTTTTTATTAGAAGCGTTTGTTGGTTACGTCGCGCGTCGGGTGGATTATAAAATCTCTGATGCCATTAAACAGCTGCTGCTTCTAAAGTTCTGCTACAGGAAGCAGCAGAGCCGACTGATTTCCTCCCAGAGCAGCGATTTTAAAACGCATCATAGTTCCTCAGAAACAGAACCAACATTAAAGCTAAAGATGCTTTTAGCTCGTAGCTCTGACCCCTGTCCTGGAGCCCCCCCCCCACAGGGAATTTCCACTCCTTTCTGCAGAAGCAGACAGATTTCCTCTTTCTCTGAGAAGCTTCCAGAAGCCTGAGCTCCTGAGAAATGAAGAACCAGCTCAGCTCGGCCCGCAGCATTATTCCCCCGCGTGCTGGAGCTGCTTCTGTGGTTACTTTTAAGAGGCGTCACAATACTTTGTTACTGTACTTAAGTACACTTTTTAGGTATCTATACTTTACTCCATTACTTTTCTTCCAACTTCTGACTTCTACTCATTACATTTTCACACAAGTATCTGTACTTTCTATTCCTTACATTTTTAATTTTCTCTAACAGTGTCCTGTCTGGCAATGTGGCAATAAGATTAATTGTCTTGATGCCAAAAAGAGTCCAACAGATTTTACTTTCGCAAGTGTAGCAGTACGGCTATCGCCATATTGCTCCACTTGTTTCATGCATATAAATTGCTTTATTATAATTATGCAGGGAGTTTTACAGTTTATATGGACACTACAATGTAAATAGAGCAGGAAAACAGAAGAAGAAAAGGGGAAAAAAGAGAAGATGAAAGAAAAAAGAGATAGAAAGGAGATAATGACAAAACATTTTCAGTCTGCTTCATCACCTGTAACGAGATGTTTCTAAATGTTTATTTCCCGTCATGTGCTCCATCCAATGCAGATCATTGGCTCCGCCCACATCTAGTGAAAACTAGTGTGATAGGATGAGTCATAGAAGGCAAACACTCATTGGTTAGCTAAAGGAAATCATCAGAAGCAAGCAGGTGTTCTTCAAACTGCTAACGTGAATTGTCTATGCCATGCTACAATGTGGGATTCAGAAAAAGATGTTGAAATGTCTGAAAGGTCGGACACAGGCGAGAGCGTATCGGGAGACGGAGACCAACAAGACCTCCCTCATCCTTGGCCCTATCTCAGAGAACTTTTAGAAATAGTCGTAAATTTTCAAAACAGTGGCGTCTGACTGTTTTACTTTATACTTTAAGTAGTTTTAGGAGCTCATACTTTTTTACTTTTACATTAGTAAAGGGGTCAAGTTGATTCTTCAACTTTTCCAGAGTGTTTTTAAACTGCAGTATCTGTACTTCTACTAAAGTAACAAATGTGTGAACTTTTGACACCAGTGAAGAGGATGTTTTACAAACGTTTCTGCACCGAGAAACGAAGCAGTTTGTCGCTCGTCCAAGATTTTATAAGGAAGTGAGAACTTTAGATACCTTCCTGACCTTAAAACATTTTAAAGCCGATGAGGAATCAGTGAAATTTATTCAGGTTGTTATGAAATTCCTCAGCAGTTAAAGGAAAATTCCGGTTTTTAACACTTTTAGCCCATTTTCTGTAGTGTCCAGGATGAAATCGAATGATCGACACCAAAATTTTGACAATTGGTCCTGTCTCTGCTATTTGGCTCATGCAGAATCCCCCCCTGGCTGCTTCAGAATGGCTTGCATAGTGCATGTCCGATTATGTCCTTAAAACAACCTTAAACGTTCTTTTTTAATTCTCACCGTGTCGTCAGCGCTGTTCAATGACGTTCCAAAAAAAGTTTCGTGAAAGAAAAAACGTTCCTGTCTTGTTTTATTTAGCATTTTGTAAATCCCAGAACAATTTTTTCGTAATAGTCAATATCCTTCCACTTCCCGTTCGAATCTGAAGCGTTGCACACTCCAGACCACTAGTTGGCGACGGTATCCTCTACCGTCAAACTCAAAGTCCAATATGTCCTCCTCAAGAATCCACCTTTCGTATTCCATTTTCAGAGTTTTTTAAAGTGTTTAACAGAGACGTTAGCACCTCGACGTCGGAGTACACAGAGTGAAGCGAAAAGACTACAACTGTGTAAACAGGCCCCATTTCCGTTTCCGGTGGCGGAGGGATATTGACTATTACAACAGAACTCAATGGGATTTACAAAATGCTAAATAAAACACTACAGGAACGTTTTTTCTTTACGAAACTTTTTTTGGAACGTCATTGAACAGCGCTGACGACACGGTGAGAAAAAAGAACGTTTAAGGTTGTTTTAAGGACATTATCGGACATGCTCTATGCAAGCCATTCTAAAGCAGCCAGGGGGGGATTCTGCATGAGCCAAATAGCAGAGACAGGACCAATTGTCAAAAGTTTGGTGTCGATCATTCGATTTCATCCTGGACACTACAGAAAATGGGCTAAAAGTGTTAAAAACCGGAATTTTCCTTTAAGATATAAATGAGTTCATGTGTTTCTGCTGAAGGATCTCCGTCTGGTTGGACCTGCTTACTGCTGCGGTTATTCCTCCCTGCAGCCTTCTGCCTTTAACGAAGGATTAATAATCAGTGCCGTTATTTGCATCGTGTTTTTGCATGTCCTTCCTTCCCTATACGTTCCTCCTGGTGAACCGTGAAGTCATCTTCCTGGGCGCCTCCAGGGAAATCTGCTCCACACCTACAGGTGAGGAACAGATTTCTCCTGAGAGGCTGGAGACGTTGATAGCTCAGGTGTTCGTTAATCACACCTTTAAAAAAAGAACAGATTTTTCATGTATATCTATGAAGAGGCAAGTAAATAAACTAAAGAAGAGTTTCTGCGGTCGTTCCGATCATTAAAATGCAGCATAGGGGCCGAGTTTCTGTGTCGTTCTGACAGCTTTCAGAGCTGAAATCATCATTGATCCGATGTAACCCTGAAACAGAGCATGCAGCGCTTCCACTACAAATCCCAGAATGCACTGCTGGCGCTTTGGACGGTCGATACGAAGCACAGGTGAGGTCAGGTAAAATAAACCAACCAGACCAGATTGAGCTTCTTTAGTGGTTTTCTTCCTGCAGATAATGACAGATTATCATTATTCTTTCCTTTTGATGTTGGAATTAAATTTCTTTTCATTTGATATTTGATTTCTCCTTAGCTTAGCATTAAGCTAATTATTTATGAACAGAGGAGCCATGTTTCATCTCTAACCTTAAACACAAACTGCAATTTATTAGAACAAACAATCGACGCCGTGCATCTGCTCAATGAAACCAAACAATATCAGTCAGTAGATTATGTTTGGATTTGATTGAAATAAAATAGATTTAGATCTTTAATAGTTATTCCTCTTTTTTATTTTCTCTTAACTTTGTATTATTTTTATTTTTTGTTAATTAATTTTCAGACG